CAAAATTTGGAAGAGACAAGATTTCAGACAACGCGATTCCCTTTCGCTTGATTTATTTAATCTGATGTTGGATAGTGATGGCACGATTAATCGAATAACCGATTATAACCGGTTATTTTCATTCGGTTNGGGACTTAGTTTCCCTTCCATTAAATTTTGGAAGTCGAAAAAAAGTTCGATATACATATATCGCAAACCATTTTAAAAAGAGCACAACTCAAAAATTTGATTCGAAAATATAACTGCTTGTGGATAGTACAGATTCACTGCAATCAATACAAAAACAGGTACGGCAGCAGTTTTTCAGTTAAGCTGAAATTAGTCAAGAACGTAAACCTACCGGTGCGTAAACCCGAGTCAGCTGACACCATCTGTCTTACCAAAGCGCCATGTAAATGAAAACTCAACACCGCAGAATTTTTCTGTAGTTGTAGCCCGTAGCGCAGAAATCTGCGGAATTTAGATTTTTCCGTGTNAATTTAATTGTATCGAAATTTTCCTTTCGATTAATCGAGCGATTAGTCGATTATTTTTCAAAATAATCGAAAAGAATCCATCAAAAATTGACTACTTTACTCACNTTTAGCTACAATCTATTATAGCAGGAAAAATTGTGGTTGAAAGGGTAAGTTTATGAAAAGGTATTGAAGAGTGGCAACAGTGTAGTAAGCAACACTGAGGGCTCCAGTAATCGACAAAATTCTCCGTATACAGACTGCGTTTAAGTATACGTTCTGCGTTCTCGACTAATTTCAGCTTTAGAGATTATAGTCATGAAGAAAAAAATCACGGCATTAATTGGAGATGGGTAATTTCCAAACAAAGTGTACATGGCAAGCCTGATTCAATAATAAAAGGTTTGCTCAAAAAGCAGTTTTCTCGCTCCCTCTTGACAAAATTGGCTCCCTTAGCAAAGCATTGTGTGTNCAACAAGTAAAGAAGTATAAGTTCGGGCGAAGCGAACTTTATATACCCGGCGCAGGTATCAAATATCGTCGTTTCAACTTTCTGTAAACTACCTTTGCATGATAATCAGGACTGGTTTTCCCGATTTCAAACGTTTTCGATGTTATGCTGAGTTAGGCTTAATGATGTAATTGACCCAAGTTTGGTAGAAATCGATAAAGTTGTTACCGAGATACACTTTTGTAGTCATAAAGTGGGCGGTGCCACGCCAAATTCCTAAAAGTCTGTAGCAGTCTTATTTATTCTTAAGAGATTGTTGTAACTATAAGCTTGGAGTAAATTAGCGCCCTCAGTTTTCGTATTTCTGTTACCGTTATGGGGGAAGTGGGTATAATTTTAGTCCGATTTGAATAATTTTTCACGAATTTCTTTTCCGTACCGAGGTTTTAAGGGTACCGAGTTTGGTAGAAATTGATAAATCGGTTACCGAGATACACATTTGTGGTCATAAGTGGGCGGCGCCACGCCCATAATCCAAAAATTTATAAAAATCCAATTTTCTGCTAAGTGGTGATTGCAATCATCGATTTTAAGTGAATTAGCCTTAGTAGTTAGGGATGANGTTATTTGACCGTTTCGCGTTATGCTTGACAAAAAACAAGCTCACTTGCCTTCTGAGCGTCGTGGTGAGAAAGTGCGCGGACAAGAAAAAGAAATTTTTTTTNATAAAAATCCAATTTTCTGCTAAGTGGTGATTGCAATCATCGATTTTAAGTGAATTAGCCTTAGTAGTTAGGGATGAAACGATACCATAGAAGTATCGATGCCTGTACTTGGAAGTAGCATCGAAAGAAAGTATCGATACCTGCAAAGTATCGGGCTAAAAGTATCGATACCTACTTATATCGATATTTGTACCTATATTTATTTATTTTATTTTATTTTATTTATTTATTTATACACAAATAAGACGTAGTATTTTATAGTGTTGTACATAAAAATTAAACACTACCTTAGTAACATGGATTACAATAACTTAAAAATTAAGAATATACCTAACAATAATGAGATCAGAGAGTAGGACGGGGGGGAAAGCAAAGGTAATAGAACATGTATTAAGACTTAGAAAGAAAGTATAGAGTAAACTGCCAATTTGAAGCGTTTTAAATTTTTCTCCAGTTTTAATTTGTGAGGTAAAGAATTCCACAACTGTACAGCCCTNTCCAATTTGAAACGTTTTAAATTTTTCTCCAGTTTTAATTTGTGAGGTAAAGAATTCCACAACTGTACAGCCCTAACGAAAAACATTCTTGACGTGGCAGAGTACTTGAAGTATGGTACAATAAGGTTGCAAGTACGGCCTGACTGTGCAAATGTTAGCTTAGAAAAAAGATTACTCGGACATCAGGTGTGGATTAATTTGAACATAAATAATACATATCGACGATCAAAAAATGTGGACAGACTGCAATCAAGAATTTTTATCGAAAACTCAGTAATGTGGTCAAACTTTTGCTTTGTATATATATATCTAGCAGCA